AAAGGTCCTTTTATTAGTATTTGAAAGTTATGAGTTCGACCTAAAATCAGCTAGAAATGGTGAATATGGGAATAACGCGTATTTAAAAATTATTAATTAAAAGTAACAATTCACTTTTTAGTTGTACTAGATGTTTAGTTAATCAAGTCAAGTTATCCTATATTAAATTGTCACAATAATAAATAAAGCAAGGTAAATAGCACAAGATTTGTCACAGAGAAAACTCATAACTGTGTAAAATACTTCAGGACTATATGTAATAAGAACTTATATTATGATCCAGCCTAGAAAACCTAATCTAACTCCAGTAATCCCTAAAACCCGCTGGACGTGCTTCACCCACATCTGTTTCCAATCTTTTGGAATTGTCTGTTTCCCGTGGATCACCAAGAATACTATGTTTTTGTACTCATTCCAATACTTCTGGTCCAACCTCCCTCAAATTTCANTTTCCCGTGGATCACCAAGAATACTTTGTTTTTGTACTCTTTCCAATACTTCTGGTCCAACCTCCCTCAATTTTCAGCAACCTCTAAAATCTATCGAAAAAGTACATTCCTAATTATATCTAGAAAATAGGTGTTTTGGATTATATGAATTTGATATTTTTTCCAACTTGTGGTTGATTGATCTCAAGAATCAAAGTTTAATCTCAATGTTTGGATGTGTTCTTGAATCTTGTATTGATATTATGAGGATGTAAAATAATGATCAAACACACCCCAAAAACGTACTGAGCGTTTGATATTTATAATAAAAGGTATTTGGATAGTATATGATAGACAGAACTCTTGCAAAACGCGAATTAAGATTTCTCGGAAAACACAATTGCTCGAGCGATAGTTGGGCGATAGGTAGGCAACAATGATTTTGCTTTTTCCGCTAGAGCATCAGTTAGGTAACAAACTAGTTATTCAACGACTCTTTCTCCTTGTTCCATATTCGAACCCAAAGACTTCTAGTTCATTTGTACAACCCTCTAAAAGATTCCTTGACTTTTACAATTCTTTTATAATAATCATTTTGTCTAAAGAATTACCAATACAACATTATCTGTTGGATATTGTTTTATATGATCATACTTGGCTACTTGTAGTTGATCAACCATGGGGTTAGCTTTCCAAAGGTGGAGGAAATGAAGTTAGAAATTCAAGAATTCTTCAATCTCCCGATAGAGGAAAAGAAGAAGTTTAGTCAAGAATCAGGGGAATTAGAGGGTTATGGGCAGGTCTTTGTTGTATCAGAAGAGCAAAAGCTTGATTGGGCAGACTTATTCTATGTAATCACCTTACCAATCCACTTGAGAAAGCCTCACTTAATTCCCAAGTTTCCTGCTAAGTTCAGGTAGAAACATGTATCGCTAGTATGTAGTAGATTGGACAGTATTAAAGAAGACAATGTACTGTCTAATCTCATCTGATAGCTGTACTAAAAATGTTGTTAGTTGGCTCCTTTATTCTTGATTTTTGCAGGGATGCAATAGACGAATATGCGGCAGAATTGAAAAACCTTGCCGTGAAAATCCTAGACCTAATGGCTAA